GCCCGGGCTCCCGAGTCACTCGGGGCCTGGAGCCGCCGCCTCGCCTCGCCGGTCTGCCCGCCTCAGCCGACGCCGACGCCTCCTCGCTTCCTCAGGGGCCGCAGCGGGTTCCGACTGCGCCACTCGCACCCCGCCTGGGCCACGCTGCACGTCAGCACGACTAAGTGCGTCAGCACGTAGTCCTTGCGCGCCGCAAGGCGCGCCGGGACCCGTAGTACGTCCCGTGACCTTGTGCGCAGGCGCGGGAGCCACACCGGGAAAAAACGTTCCTTAGGGTGCTGGGAGGTTGAACTCCTCAGCCGAAAAACTACGAGTCCCGTCAGCCTGTGCAGGGATGAACAGCGGAGAGGGCCGAGACCTCAGCGTCTGCAGGAGGCCTTTCGCTGGGGGAAGGGCTCAGGACCTAGCGCCACATTGAACGACCCCGAGCGCGTCTCAGACTCCTGCCTTCGACCTTGGGCATTCTGGGAATTGTAGTCCGGGCGCGGCGCGGAACCCGTATGTAGCCTTGGCGCGGGGCACGGCGGCCATTTTGTCTCCCCATGTTGGGCGGAGATGGCCCAATCCTGGGGACACTATGACCGTTGGCCCGCTTAGCACTTGATCTGTCGTACTTGGATGGAGTCGCCTGAGAACCCAATCCGCTCGCACTGCTGGGGGCGGGGAGCCCAGCCTCAAGCCCTGGGCCTGCAGGAAGGCCAGGCCCGCCGCCGGCCGGTACTGAGCGAGAGGAAGGCAGGCCCCGGCGAGTCGCGTCCTGTTGCCTTCAGGCGGAGTACTGCAAACGTGACTTCTTCCGGAAGCAGCGCGCGCTGCAGGCGACGCCACCGATATTTGTGGAGGCCGCGCGGACGCCCTAGCTGCTGCCTCCCTCGAGTGCGCGCGAAGCCTGCTTAGGGTGTTAGTAGATTGTTTATTTTTAACGTGCCCACAAAGGGCACTAGGGTGCCTGCGGTGGAGGCCCCCGGGCTGGTGTCAGCTTCTCCCTGAGCCTCTCCCTGCAACGGAGCCAGCCGGCCATGTGTCACAGGCGTCCCTGAAACCAGACACCCCCCACCCCACACCCGTGACGTCTCCGTGTTGATGAGATATTTTGTGCTGAATTTTCTATCTGAATCATTCGTGCATTAAATCCTCATAACAACCCCATCACAAGAAATATCCACTTCCCATGATGTTAACAGTGAATTTCCCCCATGAATCCACAGTAATAATTTTTGAAATCAGCAGTGACATTGAAGCAATGCTGCTTCCTCTTGCACGTGCTCCCACCATTGCCATAGGCCAGGAGGTGATGCAGTCAAAGGTAGAGGGCCCACAGCAGAGCCTGCACACTGGCTGGTCCAATTTTCAGCCTCCAAAGCTGCAACTAAGTAAACCCTCCTGTAACGAACATTATCCTACCTTGGGTGATTTTACTTACAGTAATGAAAAGCCAACTAATAGACCTTCTATAGTTGAAGTACCCAGTGGGAAATGTATCTTGAAGCCAAAAGCTGAATACTAGGTGAACTTACAGTTACTGGGGTATCATTTCTAGGCTTTCTTGAGGTGATGAAACAGAACTGAATGAAATATAGTCCTATATCCATGACACTGATGTCTAGTTGCACCTAATGCTACTGGGTTTGTTCTGTACTTCCCTTTTTGAATTTCCTTTTCCTCCTCTGAGAAACTTGTCTTGCATTCCACCCCACCACCTTTTGTTGTTATTGTTTTGTTTTGGTAGGGTCCAAACCAAGACCTCACA